TGGGCTTCTTGGGCTCTGTAATATGTTCATGGGCATTAAGTATATTGTTTAAATAGTAAAAAAAAAAAAAGTGAATTAAAGAAAATAAAAATTTATCAGTAATCCCACACTTAGAACCACTTTTCGTGTTTTGGTGCAGCTGTTTCTAGAATTTCTTTTCCTCTAGGCTTTTCCCATGGAAGTCTCCTCTTCCCCGAATTAATGCCCAATTACCTTGCTACTTTATGTATACGTTAGGTGTAAAATTTTGTACTGTGTTTCTGTATGTGAGAGATGGTGTGCTGGCTGGTAACAGTATGATGACAGAGTATGTATAGTCTACCCTTCAAGAAGCTTCCTATTAACATTCATTGGCATTTTAAAAAATTTTTATTGTATACATTAGAGGATTACAACATGATATTACAGGATACATACGGATAGTAAAATGGTTACTATAGTTAAGTAAGCTAACATATTCATCATCTCACAGTTACTTTTGTGTGTGTGTTTGTATGTGAGTGACAAAAGCAGCTAATGTCTACTTATATAATTAGATGCAGCTGTCTATGCTGTACAGTAACATGTTTTACAGACTGAATAATAGTAGTCATAGCTATTTATACTACTTGCCAACATGCTTTTCTCGCTTAACAATATAAATGCCTTAATAAATATAGGCCTATTGCATCATCATTTAAAAAGACCGTGTCATATTCTGTTGTTCACCTGTTTTATGACTTATTTAACAACTCCATTAGGCTGTTTTCAGGTTTTTTAAATTAAAGCAATGTTGTGTCGAGCACTCTCACTGAGGTTTGTCATCTTTATGCTGACACGAACAAAACTGTTTATGATGATAAAGCTTAGACAGGGTAGCAGAAAGCCTGGAAGAATGAGGCTAGTGACAGAGAGGCCACTTAGGATGCTGTCACAAGAAGATAAAATGATGACTTCTGAGAAAGCTGCCTATGGCCAGGACAAGAAATAGGCAGATGTGAAACATAGTTTCAAGTAAAAAAAAAAAATAACTTTGATTGCTGTTTTGAAATGGTGGACGAGAGGAAATGGTGAAACAACACTGTATGGTTTTCAATTAGCAGATGGAATCCATTGAAATTAACTATTAACCAAGTCAAGGGATAAAATAGTGCTTAGGTTTGGAGGTTTGAAAAGCTTTTGGAATATAAAGAGAGGCTGCAATCATGAGCCATTGGAATAAAGTTGTAATTTGTTAACACATAAAACAGAGAGAAGTCTCTGAGAACAAATGAGATCTCTAAACAGAAAAATTTATAAAAAAACAAGAGAGTTGAGTAATTATTACGGATAGAAAATTTAGTGAGGACAGAAAGATAGAGAAGCATATAACAGCTTTGAGAAATTATACAGTCTTTTTGGCCAAGAGACTTTTAGGGGAAAGATTGAACCTGATTTAAAATCTTATTTTTGTTTTTGAGATGGAGTCTCACTCTGTCGCCTGGAGTGCAGTGGCTTCATCTCAACTCACTGCAACCCCCGCCTCCCGGGTTCAAACTATTCTCCTGCCTCAGCCTCCTGAGTAGCTTAGACTACAGGTGCAAGCTACCCATGCACAGCAATTTTTTTTTCGTAGAGATGAAATTTCACTATGTTGGCCAGGATGCACTTGATCTCCTTACCTCGTGATATGTCTGCTTTGGCCTCCTGAAGTTCTGAGATTACAGGTGTGAGCCACTGCGCTTGGCCTAGGAAGAGATAGATATTAATCTTCTAGCTAGGTTTTGGTATTTTCTAAAACCTGAGATAATTTATCTGAAAATCAATTTTTATGTTATCAAGATTAAAATTGAGGTTTATATTTCTGTAACTTTAATTTGGCAGGGAGGAAAATTTAAATACATGAGTAACATAAATTTTAAAAGGGATATGTGAACTATTTAGCATGGCAACATTTAAAAAATATAGCTAGTCAATAATCTATTGTAATTTGAATGCTCTAATGTAAAAAGATCTTTAAATATCCATTCTATTAAGTTAGGAAATAAACTCTATCTTTTGACACCCTTCTCTTTTTAACTTTTTACTATTCATTCTTATAATCAGAACATCAGTAACGTTGGGACAAATAAAGTACAAACTCTTCGTTTTAGAAATGACAAGCCTGGGCACGGTGGTTCATGCCTGGAATCCAAGCACTTTGGGAGTCTGAGGAGGTTGGATCCCCTATTGTTGGGAGTTTGAGACCAGCCTGGCCAACATGGTGAAACCTTCTCTGCTAACAATATGAAAAAGTTAGCTGAGTATGGTGGTACGCACCTGTAATCCCAGGTACCCAGGAGGCTAAGGGAGAACAATCTTTTGAACCCGGGAGGCAGAGGTTGCACTGAGCTGAGATCCTGCCACTGCACCCCAGCCTGGGCAACAGAGCAAGTCTCCATCTCAAAACAATAACTGAAAATAAAATTAATACAGACAGTGGTTGTGGTTGGCTGAGGTCATGTAGCCTGTTTCTGGAACAGATATGGATTGAATATTTCAAGTAATAACACTCTATTAGTCTTCAAAGTTAAAACTTTTTTCATTTATTTTACACAGATTTATCAAAATTTGAATATTTATTTTGAAGTTGGTATATGTAATAAGTAGTTTTGATATACATGAAAAATATTCAGATATAGATGGATAATTGATACAGTTATTTAAGGAATATAGATGTTGGCCTTATCCACTGTGATAACAATGATAATTGAAAAAATAAAAGATTATTTACAAAATATTTCTTATATACTCCCTCACATTCATCTCGACTCTTTTATATTGTCCCTGAAACAGTGACCAAGTGACACGCAGGGATTTTTGTCCAATTTGTCATGAGCAGAAAAAGAGGAGTCTAGTGCTAACACTCAAAAGTTATTAATTCCAGATACCATTTTATTGAGCCTCCTTCAGTATTCATGTCTTTACATTGGCTACCTGCTATAAATTATTTTTGTTTGTATTCTGTTCAAATTGAAGTATTTATTATCTCTTATTGTCAATATTCTCAGTTGTTATATATATATATATATATATATTTTTTTTTTTTTTTGAGACGGAGTTTCGCTCTTGTTACCCAGGCTGGAGTGCAATGGCGCGATCTCGGCTCACCGCAACCTCCGCCTCCTGGGTTCAGGCAATTCTCCTGCCTCAGCCTCCTGAGTAGCTGGGATTACAGGCACGCGCCACCATGCCCAGCTAATTTTTTGTAGTTTTAGTAGAGACGGGGTTTCACCGTGTTGACCAGGATGGTCTCGATCTCTTGACCTCGTGATCCACCCGCCTCAGCCTCCCGAAGTGCTGGGATTACAGGCTTGAGCCACCGCGCCCGGCCTCAGTTGTTATATTTTAATATTAAATATTTGGCCCTCATGATTATCAAGGGGATTTAGACTAAAACATGAAATCCCTAATTGTGCCTGTCACATAGTAAGTGCTGAGGTAATTCTTCATCCTTTCTCATGGAGGGTGATAAGTATCATAGTTCCATTCCAATCTTATTGTTACATGATGCTACTTAGATTTTAATTGCATCGTTCACTTCAAAAAGAACAAATACTTTGACAAAATTTTTTGTTTCTTTATGCAAGAACAAATTAGCCATTTAGGTTTTTAAACTGCAGCCATTTTAAACATATATTTTGTTAATGTCACTTTCTAGGATGAGTGTATCTACTTCAGAATGATGGTGGTTAGTATTTCCTATTATTTTAATTCTAAGAAGTTATGCATTATGTAATCAGTTTTTTAACAGTAAGTAAGCGAAAGAATTAAATGAAAAAGTGAATTGAAGATATCTGATTAGGAAGATAATTCTCATATCACTTTGAACTTGAATTTATTTGTTCTATATATAATAAGGGAAACGACATTTCAAAATTAGTTGAAAAATAATTTTAAATGTAATTATGTTTAGTTTTGTACCTGGGCACTGGGGCATAATAAAACTAAAAGGAAGAATAAAACCTTTCACTTTTCATTCATGTGCAGTACTGCTTCCAAAGGGAATATATAACATTTATCAGAAGGATAGAATTATTCATGTTTCTGGTTATTTGTATTTACAGCATTCTATTTAGCTTGTGCTTTTTTGATAGATGTTCTACTGCACAAATGCATTTGAATTCATATACAATTGTATAAGAAATAAGAATCCTCCAATGGAACTAGTCATAATGTTTATAAGAAAAATCATTGTATAGTACTTCCCTCATACAACTTAGTACTTTTCACTAAATCCTAACATAAATATATTTCAGCACAATAAAGTAAGTTACAGTAAAATCAAACTTTCTTATAAATATTCTCTGTAAATCAGAAATTAGCTTTACTTGAGAAAAATTATAATTCTTGAAATGTATTTTGTAGAGTTATTTAGTATTTTGTAGAAATATTGGCAACATTATGGCAAGCTATTTACAATGACTTCAAAATATTTTGAAGTGAAATAATAAGAAATTCAAATTCACAAAAAAATGTCCAAAAAAGGAGAATAGAATGGATTGTCACATTGCTCGATTTCACTCCCACTGGGGAGAAACAAACCCTAAATCTTAGCAATTTGGCAAGTTTTTAAACCAGTCAAAACTGATTTTTTATCAGAGGTCTCTCTTTTTCCCTTTCTGACTACTTGCACTTATTGTGACTACTAAGTCAACACAGCTGAATGCTACTCTTCTATGAAATGCAGATGTTAAAGCCCCAGTTAATGACTAATAATGACAGGTCACTGAGAAGATTATTCTTATGTTGACCACTCACTTTTCAATTCACTGCCTTAATTATTTTGCTGATGTTTGAAGTCCTGAGTTAAAAATATACAGTGAAAATAATTAAACATGATTTTAAGTGAGAGTATGTTCCATTTATTCCCAAGGTTTTTGGTCATCTGAATTGTCACATTTCTTCAACCAGCAGAAATTGTTTCCTTATGATTTTCTGTATCTGAATATGCTCTACCAGTTTATACTAACCTTGAAAAATTTTCTTTTTCCCATTTCAAGTTCCACCCAATCTGACTGTTCCACAGGAAAAATCACCATTGGTCACCAGAGAAGGAGACACAATAGAACTGCAATGTCAAGTAACTGGCAAACCTAAACCAATCATCCTTTGGTCTAGAGCGGATAAAGAAGTTGCAATGCCTGATGGATCAATGCAAATGGAGAGTTACGATGGAACCCTGAGGATTGTGAACGTATCTAGGGAAATGTCAGGAATGTACAGATGTCAGACCAGCCAATACAATGGATTTAACGTGAAACCAAGGGAGGCCTTGGTGCAGCTCATCGTTCAGTGTAAGTAAATTCCCTTTTTGTGCATTTCCGTGTGGGGAAGAGGGAAGAAGAGTTACCATTATTCCACCAGTCAAATGAGGTGATTTTTGGAATTGGATTAGGAAAACGATTTCTACATTAATGCTACCCAATTTAAAGTATAATTTACCCTAAATCTGCTTTTTACATGAGCTTATGCACACTAATAGAGGGGTGTGTGTGTGTGTGTGTGTGTGTGTGTAATAATTATGATGGTGTTACTGGTTGGTTAATGCCAAAGAATCAACAAACCTAATGGTGAGAAACTGTCCATATGCAATAAGCAAAGTGGAGACTTGACGTAATTGCTAATTCAGGTTGTTACACATTTGTTTTCACAGTCCATGTTTTTACTTCAGGCAATTGCATGTCCTTTCCCCAAATTATCTACCTATTTCAAGCATCTCTTTGCTTAAATTATGGAGCTCTAATCATTGAAATGCTATGTTTGCATACCTGAAGTTGTAACAGGGAATTACATAATTATCTAGTAATATACTGATAATTCAGGGAAGTCTAAGGTGCTGAATTTTTGCCGAATTTATCATAGCATATAATTGTTTTACTGAGAATTGAATAAGATACACTTTAACTACTTTTTTACTGAAATTAGTTATGGTACTGATTAAAACTGTAGCTATTAAGGAGTTTATATTTGCTTTCTGCATTAAAAAATATCAAAATCCACATACTTAGGGGTCAGTAAAAATGTACCAGTGTTACTATTGTTGGGTTATTACAGAATACCCTGGTAACTGGACTGCCCAATGGTAAAGACATTGCTGAAAGAGAAGAAAACTAAACACAATCTATTCAGTCTCTAATAGGGCTACTGTAAATTCTAATTGATATACTATTTGTTAAGTATATGGTATAAAGTTTTCATTAAACAGATGAATTAGGTGAAACCATGCACTTCAGTAAAAGTGTCATTTTTGCCTATTTTTAACTCAGGAAATTGAAAATAGAATTTAATCCAAAAATGTCTATTTTTATATTAGACTTAAAGTTGTTGGCAGAATGAATTGACTATTTTATATTTGGGTGAATAATTAAAATATGAAAATATGTGTGGGACTATTTAGCTACAAATGTATTTATACATGAGATATGAGTGTAGGGTGAGAGACAGGGTTCTGGGTGCTGCTTAACTATTCCCTACCCCTCATCTATAGAATCTCAGATTCCAGATTTGCTGTTTGTCCTATAAATATGTAAACTGATTTTTGCAAACAAAGGCTAAATGACTTGGCTGATTTCTAACTGATTATGAGTTTGTTTTTTTTTTCCCTCCAAATAAGGTAGGTTTTAGAAGTCAAGTTGCATTTGGCAGTTTAAAATTGCTTTTTTCTCACTGGCCTCTGTCCTCATGACAGTATGTTTATGGGCATGAGGATCATGTGAAAACAAGTTTCAGAAAAAAAAAAGAGAAGAAAGAGAAACTGCTTCTCATTTTCTAAAAA